GAGGCTTTTTATAATGTCTTATTAGGGGAGTTTCTACTTTCTGTAGTGCTTGTTTTTTCTACAGTGCTATAGCTTTACTTTTCTACTTACTGCTTTAACACAGAGGAATTGCTTGGAATGTCACTTCTAATTTTAATTGTTGGTTTGGTTCTCGACCAGATATAGCTAACAGTAGATTCCTCCCTCTACCTCCCCCAGCACCAAATCTCCTGTTGTAAAACCCTTTCATAATGATACACTTCCCCCCTGCCAGTGGCACATCGAGTCAGATCTACAGGAATGTGAATATAGCTCAAACATGCTGCTCTGTCTGACAGTTTTAAAAGTTTCTCAGTGCTTTCATTTTATGAAAGCATATTTTTTTTCCTCCCCAGTCCAAAGCAAAATGGCAGCTGGAGTCTGCAATAACATAATTACGAATTCCAGTTACAATGGAAGTTACAAATTCAGCACAGGTGGTTAGAAACAACTGAAAAAACTACCAACATAATTTCAAATATTGTGGGCTTCCCTCGCTGCTGTAAGAATGTGGGTTTGGTTTTTACGCTAACGGCAAAAATGCTGTATTTTACTCTGTCAGAAAACTTCCCTATGCAACGTATCTTCAGCCTGCTCATGAAGCTGGAGCTGGGTACTTGAATGATGGTTGCCAGTTTAATATCATTCAGCTTCCTTTTACATTAAAAGGAGTTGTGTACAGAATCACAGAATCGCAAGGGTTGGAAGGGACCTCGGGAGATCATCTAGTCCAACCCCCCTGCTAGAGCAGGCTCTCCTAGAGCAATCTACACAGGACTTCATCCAGGCGGGCTTTGAATATCTCCAGAGAAGGAGACTCCACAATCTCCCTGGGCAGCCTGTTCCAGTGCTCTGTCACCCTCAAAATGAAGAAGTTTTTCCTCATATTCAACTGAAACCTCTTATGTTTCAGTTTGCACCCATTGCCCCTAGTCCTGTCGCTGGACACCACTGCAAACAGACTGCTTCCATCCTCGTGACTTCCGCCCTTAAGATATTTGTATGTGTTGATAAGGTCCCCTCTCAGTCTTCTCTTCTTCAGGCTGAACAAGCCCAGCTCTCTCAGCCTTTCCTCGTAGGGGAGGTGCTCCAGTCCCTTTATCATCCTAGTTGCCCTCCTCTGGACTCTTTCTAGGAGTTCCTCATCTTTCTTGAACTGGGGAGCCCAGAACTGGACACAGTACTCCAGGTGGGGTCTCACCAGGGCAGAGGAGGGGGGGAGGATAACCCCCCTCGACCTGCTGGCCACACTCCTCTTAATACACCCCAGGATACCATTGGCCTTCTTGGCAACAAGGGCACACT